TCTTCCACTGTTATTATTGCAGGGTTGTCACTATCCGCATCAGTTGAGAGGTAATTCTTGACTGCAGGCGAAAGCCCCTGCGACCCTGAACCTCCATGGAGAAAGGAGTAGCTTATTTTCTTCCCCATTGCTCTGTATGCCCCTGTAAGTCTTGGTGAATGATCATGTGTGGATATGCGATGATCGCTCTGCCCCTGTCAAAACAGAAGAGTCTTTCCTAGATGAGATAAGATACGATAACTTTATTATATCACTTCAGGATATCTGTACGTGACCCAAAATGATCCCCGACCCCAAATGATCCCAAAGTTTTTCACATGCGACCTGAAATGATTCCCGAGGAATGATCGGAATGGAATGGGATGAAGTTTTATTCCCGAAGATGCTAGAATTACTAGAATAAAGTAAATTAAAAAATTTTGACTCCAATTGTTTGAAGTGTTGATGTATTTATAAATTTTGGACAATTTATTAAATAATTATAGCTCCTTTTTAACGAATTTTGTAAGAAACTTTAGAGTATAAATTAGAGGTTTAAATCGTGCAAATAGCATCTCGATAGGCCCAATTTAAACTTCAAATTTTACGTGTGCCGAGTCTGATACCTATTTGGTTCTACTTAAATAAGTAAATCCACCATTTTAGATGTCGAATCATGAGCGAGTTTTGATAGAGTTTGGAAAAAATTGAGAATTGTAGGTTATAATAGATTAAACATGATTTACAAATTCGACTCGGCACAAGAGACAACAGTTGAACTTCTTTCGAGATTTGACTGGCTCAGTCGAAGATGCGACAGAAGTCGAGTTGTCGAAATTAATTTTAGTTAAACGTTGAACTTCCTACGCATTTGATACCTGAATTAAATTTGGCACATGTGAAATGCGATGTTTAAACCGGGCCTTACTGTAACAAGTAACTAGTCTTTGCTTCCTGTTGGTACCCATTAACGTACATAGTATTCACATAACCGTTTATTTCTGTCAATTATGGAATTTCTGAACTGTAACAATATGTAATATGAAACTCTCCGCCTCTGTAAGAGAAAAAAGTGAACATAAACAACCGTGAAATTAATGATAAACAAGAACAACTGAATACAACAGCTAGGTGATAGAAAACCTTAACCTGGCGGTTAACATGCAGGAACTTTATAACCTGAACTGTATAAAATAATTCAGTAGAAAGAACAAAACTGTAATAACAATAACAATGAAAATATTGGTACTGGTTAGAGCTAAGTGTGTAGCTTTCTATATGTCATTGACTATAAATCTAGATGTATGTTGTATGCGGTAAATGCTTTTGCCAGTTGCTTTATATTATGAAAATTTACTCATTGTGTGTTCGTGCTCGCGAATGTGAGGAATTCGAATTTTTTTGCCTTCGACAGGTTTACTTTACAAATTCTTGCCAACAAATCTGAGGGTGTGTAAACCAACCTTTTATACTTTTTATACACATCTGAGGTGAAACAGTACTTTTTATCATACAGACCTCGGACAGAATACGGCATTTCACAATTTTTCAATGTTCAGGACCATCAATCGTTGGCTTTTAGAGAAACCGTTCAAAAAATTTCCAAAATCACCCATACGGCCAGCCGGTTCTCATTTTTAGTGCGCGCTGTCAGTGTGGTTGAGTGTTTGAATGAACTTTAATGGAGATACGCTTCAACATAATAACGAATTATTATCATTATTTTTTGTTATTTAATGGTTCCAGTTATAACGATGTGTAATCTTATAAAGCGTTTGATAGGCTTGACATTTCTAAGTACTCCTGCAAGCGATGTTCATGAACGATGAAAGAAAACACCACGGACAAGCGATTAAAATTGCAAGAGAGACTACTAACAATCAATAAAAGAAATACAATTCGGTAAAACACTTACAGAGACAACAATTTTCATTCACGAAGACAAGTATTAAAGTGTCTCTAAAAATCCTGAGCCGTTTAAACTTAAAGCTTAAGCTGAAGTTTATTTTGTTTTACTTTCAGCCGGCCTCCCGGTTTTTTTTTTTTCAAAGATGAACTCCTCGAAGCAAGAAAATCACTCAAAAGTTTTCTTTCTCCAGCCAAATTTATAACTAAATATTCTTCGGAACGTTTTTTTTCTATTTGCCATGAGAAAATATATCTGAAGGCCTTTTAAAGTTCTGTAAGCTTATATCAAACCTGATACTAGATAAGATCATTGACTCAACTCTTAAACAAACGTGCAAAAACTTGCCGCATAAACTGTGCTCGACTTCATGAAATTAGATATAACAAAAACAAACATCAAATACAATAATTACTCAGGCTTACCATTCGAGATTCACTTCCTGAAAGATATCAAGGAAGGCCATAGTTGCTTGAGACTTTTAAACCCTCTTACGCAATGAGCAAGGTGAAAGACGAAAACGATGCCATCCGAAATCGGATTACCCAATTTTGACAAGCGACGCATTTCTCAACCAAAAACCCAATAAACAAACCAGCCATGGATAACAGAAGACTCTTGATAGCAGCTGTATTTCATTTTGTACATCCAGTGGAAAAAGACAGTTAAAAACATCACAAGTTGACACAAAACTCTGTCAGCTTTAGCTGTCAAAGTAAACAATTTTCAAGATCCTGCATAAATTTTCCGCATGAACTCACCTGTCAAATTTTGACCAATCAGAGTACAAAAATTGGACGTAGAGCGTGACCAACGCGTGACTATGGTAAAAGGTCTTCCCCGCCTTTATTTTTAAAAAAGTGGCTAAATTTTCGCGTCCGAGGTCAGTTTGAAATCAAAATCTTGACAGTGTGGGGCCATAGTGACATAAACACGACATATTTCATATGAATCATTGGAAAAATAGACTTGAGCCTGCGATCATTTGAAACTGGTAATATGTCAGCGGATAACTTCAAAAAAGTACTCGACCTCGATGGGTCGACACTTGAGCCTGCGCTATGGTCAGGTGATACTGGTCAGCGGATATCCTGTTTTGACAGCTGTCAATTGATCACAACATTGATGTACAATTAGTTTTCTATTGGGCTCCCAAACTAGCAAGAAAGTGTGAGAGTAAACATTGGTTTCTCTGTGGTGCGGACCGACGGTCGTACGGTCACGTAATTGCCAAATTTTCTCGGATGGGTAGATTACCACATTTCCTTAGCTATGGGGCTCTGTCCACGCGCGTGCTTCGCACGCGGGTGGAGCTCCGCTAAAAATTTCCAAAACCTATGTAGCCTGTGAAACTTAATCCAGAACTTAACAAAAATCTAAAGATATCAAAAATATATATTCCATTGGGACCAGTTATGTTTTTGCCTAGGAAATGTATGTTCAAAGATGTCTCCTTTTTTCTTACACTTGTTCAATCAGGGACTATGCCATAGTTCCCTGGAAATATCTCTAGAAGTAGATGGACGTCAAAAAATCTGTTTATACTGTTTGAAAGTACTTATATTGGTGCAGTTTCTGTTATAAAAATTTCCGCGGGCAGTCATATTGTGTTAACAGGAGAACGAGTCAATAATGCTGAAAATTCGAGTTTTCACGAAATGCTATTTTGGGTGACATGGACAGGAGGACTGGTTACGAGTTTTTGTAATATCCAGCTACGGCAATAAAGACACTATAAAATAACAGAACCTGCTAAGTTTAATATTTTCCGGGGGTATATCTGATTTATGACTAGTTTTGGTCATTTTTTATTCGCAACGAGCCATGCAAGTATGATGTTGCATTACTGATGAAAGAGTCTTTTTTCACACTTTTCAGGAACTTTCTCACAGTACTCTCTCTTTGCTTACAAATGCCCTTTCATTTAATTTGTAGGTAAATACCCCACAATTTTTTTTCAAATTACATACCATCAGATAATACACAGTTTTTGTTTTGGGGAGGGGTTAGAAATAACTGATGACTTAAATTAAATGCTGCAAAAAAATCTTGATCCACGAGAAAAGCATGACAAATTTGGTTCCAGAGTAGGACCTTTTGGTCCTATGTTATAACCTAGCACCAACCCCCCCTCCCCCCCTCAGTCCGTAAGGCGAGGGAGTCACATTTGATAAATAAGGCCATGACTCTTGAACCTAATGGCCTAAACTGCCGTGATGAATTATTCTAACCTATATCCTTATTACTTTTTCTTTTCTTTTTTATTGTTGTACGTCATTTCCGCTGCCCCCCCCCCCTTTTCAACAATTTTTTTGCAATATCCTCCATCTATATAATATTGTAATTCCCATCATAAATTCAGTAACATCTGAAAACCTGAAGAAGGCTGGTATGGCTCGCCCAAATATTATAAAAACAGTACACGTTGTTAATCAACTTTGCAGTAGTCTTTGGACTTCTCTTTTTTTGTTTTCAGTAATATTTTAGCTGATTAGATCTCTTTTCTAGAGATCCAACGTTAACAACGAGCGTTATCTTCATCCACGGTTTTTGCAGTAATTATAGTTACCAGAATTACTGTTCACAGGAGCACCTTTTCAAAAATTCAATAATAGCAACAGAATAGACATTCTTCTTTTGAGCTTTAACTTTAATGGATCTGTATCCGTATGTCATGTAGGATGTGGTGCGTCCGTCATCTGGGCATGGAAACAGTGGTAGAGCCCTCCTTGAATAGGCTATCTGTATGGGATGTCGCCGGCTTTGGCTTTCACTGACACAAACTCTCCTTTCCCTGGCCTTTCAGCTATCCATTCAAACTGGTTATCGAGTCGTATTCCTGACAGAAAAGACCAAAATAATCAAGTTTTTATTAATAAGGGTCTAATTTATGATACAGTGGCATGGGGTTATAGCTTTATTGCTAAGATTACCATATATCCCCTTTGAGACCAAATGGGTAAAGTGTGTGTGCTATGAAACCAGTATAATATAGCGGACTGAGATCCATTTTACCATGAACGCAAGTAATTTTCCTTTACCACCTCTTGGTTGAACATACCTGAAAATGACGTCCAGGATCGGAAATTCCCTCCACCAATACCGTACACCTTGGTTAATGTATCGTGTATTGCTTCACGTGCGTCTTGATTTGCGCTGCTTTCCTATCCCATGGACCTTTACCACCTTGTGGATCACTGAAATCAATCTGGTAGAGATCCATGTTCGTTCTCTTACGCAATATTTTGCTGGCTAGAATGGTATTTGTGCAGTGATAGCACCCTGTGTTGTCTTGGTGGAAGACAACTCTGGTTAACTTGGAGTGTTCCTGCTTCAAGGTCTTCAGTACATGCTCCATCACAGTTACTACAATGTGGCTGTCCTGTAGACCCGATTCAACTATTTGCACAGGCGTCTGCGCGACCAGCTCCCCTCGCTGTTTGCTCTGACAAACTGTCAAGTGCCAAGAGATACCTCTCTTACCAAAGAAATCAACCTGCATTTCCCTGTACTGGGTGGGTAAGAACTTCATGGTGAAATCCTGTGTGATCAGCACTGAGTCGTTCTGAAGACTATCGATGATATCTGTCCCGGCTGTATCCTGGTGAACCATGCGCAGCTGGTGAGCCTTCCAGGAACGGACTCCGTCACTTTCAGTTCTTGCATTAAATAGGAGGTCATCCTGAAGGTTGGTTGACTGGATAAAGGTCAAAACTGAGTCTAAAGACTAAAAGAGATATAAGATATAATTAGATAGGATTATTTTGCCCTAGGCCGGGTTTACTTAATACTGGCTACATACAGTCTTCAAGGTCTCGCAGCTGTCACAACATTGATTATGTTGATGATCACAGTGGTGGCAATAGCTCTCCTTTTCAGCATCACTGAGTGCAAATACTCTGCAGTGGTCAGGAATAGTACTAGCCAATGAGCAGTGGATCTGTGAACGAGTCAATCATGCGGTTACACCTTCACACAATGAAAATGCATGGGCAGACTCCATATAGGCACTAATCATTTACCTTGTAATCACTTTTGGTGTACTGTTTTAGGTATCTAAAGTCGTTTTTGAGTTCTGCAATTACAGACTCAATGGCCCCATACTTCACCAGCATGTCAAGGAGCAATAATAGATCATCAAATCCGCGCCCACCTTCTGCTGTGCAGCTGTCTAGCCCCTGTAAACTCTTACGAACTGATGCCATGCATACTTAGTCTAAATGGTATTTACTTTAGAATGTTTATTATTTGTCACACGAATCAGGGCTTGACTTACAAATACAAACGCTTTTAACTCTACTGTTCATAAGAACATTTTTGTTAGTTAAGCCATTTTTACAAAACAATGGGTTTTCGTGCTTGTTCATAACGTGGCCAGTTATGGATAACCACTCGCTAGTTGATGCAGCACACCACAACGTGGCTAATGAAGCTTTCTTGCATTTTTGGATCACAGGACAGTCTTTCTTTTTCACAATAGCTTTGATCTTTTTCCTGTATCTGCAAAGGATGTTAGACACCGTCAATGAACGATTATTTTATCAAAACTTGTTGTTTTAACCTGGCCTGAAAGCAAGGAAGTTCATTAAACATGAAATAGGAAAGATCATCATGTCGGGTCAGGAGGCGCAACTGTAAGGCAACTTTGCACCCATACGCAGATTAACAAAAGTCAGTGGGTTTTTTGTTGTTCACAAAAGAGTGGCAAAATAGTAGTGAGATTGTCAAAGCTGTTTTGGCACTTTGCCCTCTTCGTGGTACGGTTTGAAGAAGTAAAAGAAAGCCTTAGTTTGGTTCACGAGAGTTGCCGTTCTGGGCAGCATGTTTTTGAAAGTTTGCCATTCACGAATATATTGTGAAGAGTGTGGTGAACTCATTTGTGAACACAGAAACATAGACAAACACAACAGTTCAACAAGCAGCCATGTGTAACTCATCCGTGAAAGTACTTTACAAAATCCCCTGTGAACTAGGGAGGGGAAAATTCCCCAAACGCAAAAACCTCCTCTAAGTGTTCCAGTTGCTACTGTTTTCCCATACACAATGACATCATCTAAATAAATCTAGCAACCTAAGTCCTGACAAGATCAGTTCCATTAATCACTCAAAAGTTCGAGGTGGTGACGTAAGCCTTAAGGGCATGATGGTCGGGGCACGATGGTCCTGTCATGCAATCCTGAGGTAGTCACGAAGGCAGCCTTGCCACTGCTAGCTAGATTGATGGGGATTTGCCAGTACCCTGAAGATAAATCCCACGTGCTGAACCCTTTTTCCTATAGAAAACACGCTAATAGAATCGTCAGTGCACAGCAGCAGATCAGCCCCTAGACAGATGCCATGTTCACTTGCCTGTAATCAGTGCAGAATCTTTGGGTACCATCTTTTTTTGTCATTAGTACTATGGGAGAAGACCACGTACTGCTTGATTCCTAACAATGCCTCGCTGCAACAAGTCTTGAACTTGTCTCTTGATTTGTACACACTGCCTGTGAGGTATGGCAGGGATGCGGTTTCATAGTTCTTGGGTTTCCGGTATAAATGTAGTGTTTTGTCAAGTTTGTCCTGCCCAGATATTGCTTGGATAGGGAGAATACATCTTTGTCCCTGACGTTCCTCTTTGGTCAACTGTTCTGAGCTTCACTGCCAAAGTTCTTTGAGAGGATCTGGCAACATTTCTCCCCTCTTGTCTCGACCCTCGAGTATTTTGCGAACTGCACTCTTAGGGATGTCTGAAGTCTACTCTGGAACCGTAACTCTGCTACACTGGTCGCTGGTTTGGCCACAGCTACAACTGTTACCATCACCACTGTTTCCAAACGATGCATTGGTGAAAGGATCACAAGCTGAGTGACAGAGGAGGTGACAAAGGAGACAGCCTCTGGCTCGTACTTTGCTGTAAGATAGATCCACAAAACGTTTTTCTCAGACATTTGCTGAATGTCCCTTCTTCTAAAACCAAAACTGGTTTCCTGGATTTCCTTTATGGCAGCAAAATTTTTCGTTTTGCTTTGAACCTCGCGTAGGACTCGTCTTTTTAGCTGGTAAAGGACAGTACTCTGCCAATTCACCAAAACACAAACAAACAAAATGTCAAGAAGCATTTTTTCAATAATTTTAAAATCAAAAAGTCAAATACTAATAATATATTCCGAAGTACATTTTGTGTTGCTGGAGTCGTAAAATGTACGAAATGATCTGGATTATTCCCTCTCAAAATGACAGGGACATTGTAAAATGCTCCAACTTAACATTGCCTAAGACATTATCTTGTCTGACTCATCACCATCAAGTTCAGCGTACATGGCGGATTGTTGTGTCTGAGCAAATTATATGTACTGCATGGTTTTCCAGATCAATTGAAGTAGATATTGGCAGGGATGTCCCTGAGAGCCGGCTACCTCCTGCCTTTTTCACTTGCTGATAAAGAGCTTGCCACTAGCTCAAATTAATCTGGAAAACAAAGACGTGGAAATTTTGAAGGTGCAGTTGAGTAAAATGGCGGATAAAATAGACTGACTGATGTCATAGCTTGCTCGGCTGTTCCTTGGCTACATCCCTGGATTGGAATAGAAGTGGTCGGTCTTTTCCTTTCCATTTGAGGGGGGTCTAGGTTGGTTTCATTCGGATAATTTTGAATTTGGGGTCCAGAAAAGTGAATTTTGAGTGAGTTGATGTCTCAATTGGTTTTGTTATCCACAAAATGGGTATAAATGTGAAGCTTGATCTTTGATACCGGTTCAGCTGGAGCTTAAATATATTCCTGACAACTAAACAGCATTTTTGCTGGTGTCTGTTCCCTCATTAGTGTTAAACAATTACTCGAGGTTAACACACTCGATTTTACCATAAACAACAAAGGCAATTACATGTACAATGTAAAATGAACAATTACCCAGTATGGATATCTGGTTGGATGGAAAACATGCCGGCCTCGGGTCCTTAAACTGGAACCTCTGACGGATTTTATCAGCTGTAGCAACACTCACTTTGAGTAATACTTTCACTGGCCACAGCTTGGAGTATGGCAAGCCGTTTGTAGCAAAATTTAATCAAGTCGAAAATTTATTCAGTCCAATCATTTTAGCCTAATGCCATTTGATTTAATCTTTCAAATATGTGACCCTCCACAAGAATTTGATGCTAAAGGTGAGANTTAAAGACGGACACACATGCCTTTGTTTTGGTAAATTTAACATGCTAGACCGTTGTAGCGTGCCATATGTCCCAGTAAGTGTGCGATTTATAGCACGCTTAGTGTGTAGTTTGGGTAAGGCCTGTTTCAAACTTCGTGCTACTGCCGTGCCAACTTTAGCATGGTAGTAGCGGGATTGTTGAAGCCAAGTCGTGCTACTGCCATGTAGCACGGCAAGCCTTGCCATGCTACACAGCAGTAGCTCGACTTGGTTTCAAACGTCGTGCTACCGCCGTGCCGAACTCAATTCATACTGTATAAATACATCAGAATACATTTAAAAGTTTGCTAAACTGTTTCTTTATTTTTGTGTTTTCCTTTCGGCAACAGCTGTTCTATTCGACTGAATTAAATTCGACGTTTGAAACCAAGTTGTGCTAGTTTTGAGCTACAGTCGGGCCAGCTTAGCACAGCAGTAGCACGATGTTTGAAACAGGCCTAAGACACGCTGAACACGCTTGATTACTAAAACTGCTAAGATGATAAAAATGGCTTGGGTTTTCTGCAGATTTAATCAGCGTTGATAACTGGTCAAAGTGAATCAAATATACCAATTGATCGTAACCATAGCCATTTGAAAATCACCACTTAGTGGTCGTCTAGCCTGGAATTAAGATCAGTGGAAACCAACTCCTCCGGCTGTCGGCTGTTGACCAGAATCTCAAAGAGGCCTGCTATATATATCGTATGTGAGGCACTGAAGTTATGTCGCCTGAAAATTATAGTTATGCCACCGGAATATTTATTAGCAGTAATGCACAGAGAAATGAAGTTGTATAAATTAGTTTAATATATTTCTTTAAGCGAAGCTGAGACCAACGAAGGTAAATCGGAGAAACAAAAACTTCTAGAATTTTCTATAGGTTGAAGAAGACTAAACATTTCTAGATGACCGTTCCATGCATGTACAATTTTTGAAGCTTATCTAATTAATTCCTTACTATTTTCTGAAGTTTAATTTTTTCCTTTTCACTCCCCAGGTTGAGCTATTTTTCGTAGAGAAAGGAATCCTAAAATTTTCGGAATCGAAAATACGATAAAACTCTCACTTTCCTAAAACTTTCAAGTGGAAGCTAAATTTTTGGGGAAAATAATGCTGAAGCTATTGTAACTCCGAAAAGAGTGAAGTTGTCCTAGGATGTTAGGATGCATGTAGGAGGAAATCGCCATTAGGTGCCCCTGACAAACGAAGCGCTATCAATCATAATTTATGGGAAGATATGTTGTTACGCTATGCTAAGACGAATCAAGCGCTGTAAACGTGTACTATATCTTGTTCTTCACAGGACGAAAAAGGCAAGAATCTGTAAACTAAAAACAGTGAAGAATACTAGACTCCGTTGTGAGAAACACAGAGGCAAACGTGTCTCCGTTAGCGGGTACATCATGGTAAGCCCGTTGTTCCATGTTTCCGTTATTGCGTTCATAACAGATGAAACAATAACTATAATTCAGTAGTACTATATGTTTTTGTTTTTTTTAACTTTGATGAGACGAAACAAGCGCGATAAGTGTCAGGTAATACCATGCTAGGACATGTTGGATGTTGAGCATGTGAAATTTCAGGCCTCATGAGTGAGGATTGCAGGCGACTTTTCTGTGAATTTTGGGCAACAAAACTCATATCAGGTTTTGGACGACATAACTTCAAACATCACTTTCGAGCAGCTTGACCGTCACCCCTTTAGATCGAGCTCGATGAATGAATTCAATGACCAAACTTTATCGAACAAATGATTGCCTTCAAGAATTTCACTCGGATTGCTTTTAATTTGGTTCTTTTTCTCTTTTCTCAGTGTGTGACTGACAGAGATTTCTCGGATCGAGCTTTAGTACTCTAAACACACCGTATTATTGTGGCAAAAACAAAGAATCAAACAAAAAAGCACCATACAATTTCGAAATTCTGTTAAAAAAGGCCTTCTTTTGTTTACTATTCAAAAAGTGGTAAAACAGTCATTACAAGTAACCTGGTAATTTTGCACTCTAAGGTTAGCATTTTGTAGACTATTT